AGGAAAGGCAAATCATGTTCTTACCAAATTGCAACTCTACGCATCATCATCACAGAACAAAGCATGGAATGGCAATCGAACCTCTCTGTACCTCAACTTTATAGACTTTGAAAAGGCCTTCGACAGCGTTGATCGTGAAGTAATTTGGAAATTACTTGAGTACTACGGCGTGCAGCGCCCAAATATTCATCAACCTCATTCAACAGCTGTACGACAACGGCGGCACATGTCAAGTGATCCACAACGGAAAACTCACTCAGTGAGGCGTTTGGAGTAAACACAGGAGTCAGACAAGGGTGCTTATTATCACCCACGATGATATTCCTAATTGTGGTAGACTGACTGGATTATGCGTCAAACATTGGGAAACGAGAAGACAGGGAGGGATATCCTGGACCGACGCGAAGAACCTAGAAGACCTGGATTTCGCGAGTGGATGATTTATGTTTGATGTCACACGAAATCGAGGACTTACAAGTGAAAACCGACAAACTGGTCGAAAAAGCAGTCGGCGAAGACAGGACTCTGTGTGAACATGGACAAGACGGAGGTTATGAAAATAACCAGCCAACAACAGAAGCAGCAACATTCAGCGTCAATAGCCGTCAACAGGGGGGTTTCAAAGAGGTTACTTCATTCACTTACCTATCTAGGGAGCATCGTCTCAACTACAGGAAGTCGGTACGCACGAGGATGTCAAATCGAGCGAGAATCGGGAAGGCGAGAAACACATTCACTCATCAACCTGAAACCAATCTGGAAATCTTCGTCACTCAGCCAGCATCAACAACAAAATTCGGTCGGATTTTCAATACAAACAGCGTCAAGTCAGTCAGCTCTTCTATACGGATGAGAAACTTGGCGTGTGTGTGTGGGGGGGTCACAAGGAATATTTCCGACAGCCTGTTTCAGACCTTACCTTTGTCAACAACTAACTGTCTTCGCTGGATCTATACTGAAGATCAGATGGCCGGGCCGGGCCGGGTCGGAAAGAACCACCAACAACAAGAAACTATGGTAAGGAACAAACAAAACAAGAACCGATCGCCAACCAACATCAAATATGCAGGAGAAAGTAGAGGTGGATTGTACAATCGCTCGTTGAGAAGGCCGCCGCTGGGTGACATCGCGCGCGCGGCGAGTGGGACGACAGTGCAAGGGTGATATGGAGGAGGAGATTGTGTGAAGAGGAGTTGAAAGAGTATTGACTAACATGGATGCAGGTGAAAAGTACAGCAGAGGGAAGACAGAAGCAAGTGGAGACGTTCAGTTGAAGCCCTATGTTCCACTAGGAGTCTAAGGGAGCAATAATAATAATAATCTGAGCATAGAGGAGACAGTAGATAACCAGCCAACTACAATAACAACAAGTAGAAATTATTATCAAAGGGAGAAATTCGAAAGAGGTGAATTCTTTCAGTTAGCAGGAGGGTGCCATCATTTCAACTACAATCACATGAAACATATTGAGAATATGGAAACCAGAATTGGAAAGACCAGAAAGAACCTCAATCATCACTCTTAAATGAGTTTAAAAATCTGTTATTCCCAAGAAAACTATCTCTCCAATGAACCTGGAATTCAAAAGTGACGTCGAGGTATAAAATCCTTAGAAAAATCGCCTTTCTAAAGGTGTCTGAAGAAGACATTTTGAAGCAGCTGTCTTTCAGTTTACTTGCTCGTGTGGAGCAAAATATATCGCCCGTAAACGCATTCTGTAAAAGTTTTTAGCTTGGCTAGTTATCTAGCTAGACAGAGGAGAAAAGAAGAATACTAGCAGCTCCATCCTTGAACATCCTGTCAACTCTGGACATCACTTGTATGGATGCTTCACATTACCACACAGAATCCCTGAATTTCGTGCGAAAAGGACTTACTCAGAATGCACCATCTGAATCATTGGTTATTCGGGTTCTGAAACTGGTCCTCTGCATTCAAAAGCACCACATGTATTCATTCGCCAACTTGTCGTGGTCAGCGTAACGTTCTCATCATAATTTTGCTTTCTTTTATCATGTAAGTTTACTATTGTTATTATTATTCCCATAATCACTGTACTACTGTTTATTAATAACATTGCGTTTTCATACAAGTTTTATAAAAACACTTTATCGTCTTCCCAGTTGTTCTTCTTACGTCATACCAACTTCTACCACCTTTCCTAATTTCCATTTAGTCACCCACATCTAGACTACACCTTATATTAAATAATAAGTAAAACATTTTCGTGGACGAATTCTACCAGTATCTGATTAGTCGTCTTATGAATTCTTACGACTGTAGAGCAGCTTATGAAAAGGCGAATCGTCGAAAAGAAAGAAAATTTTCTTTGCTGTTTACGTCGTTTTCTTAAATTTCCTGTACTCAGAACAAAGACAACAAAGAACAAAATTCAGATTTTCAACACCAATGTGTTAAGTCAGTCAATGCTTCTGTATGATGGATGGAAAATTTAGTATGCCTGCCATGAAAAGCATTTCCAGCAGGTTACACTGTGGATTTGTATCAACTGCTGACTTCACTGATCCCATATTAAAGATCAGGTAGCCAATCACAATGAATTTTCTCAACAAGAAACCCTTTGAAATAAAATTCATCGAGAACGTACTGACAAAGAAACAAATATTCCGAAGAGAATGCAGACGTGGATAGGATACACGTTGAGGAGACCGTCGGGTAACATCATATGTCAGGTCATCGTTCGAGTGGGAAACTATGAATTAGATGTGTGTCTGAAGATAATATGGAGGAGATCGTGTGAGTGGAAGGCGATTATAGGTGATGGTCAGTCGTGAGACCATTTGAAGAGGGCTTCAGAGAACATGATCGGATGGAGGAGGTCTGTTGAAGGTATGTGTTCTACTCGGAACCCAAGGAAATAATAATAGTAAAAATAGAGATTAGGATTTATGATTAAAGTTAGGGTTTGGGGTAGATTAAAGAATAGCGTCAGGAATATTAATGGATTTGAAAGTATCATGGTCTTCGGTCACTTAGATGAATTTATCTGTAGCATATGTTTTATTTTCTTTATGGACTATACTTAGAGTAAGTGGGAGAGATTTCTACAAAACATAAAACACCAATGTTCAGTTTAATATCATATTAGTAATGATTTTAACACAGTTTCTAATTGTTATGTGACTTTCAAGTATTGATTTGTAGGGATTTCATTGATTGGTTACAGGATTTCATTATGAGCTAACATTGGTTAGAGAACCACTGGAAAATCTGGTAGTACTGAACAACTGTTTCGTCCTAGTCTGGGGCTCTTAACCGGCACACACCCACTTCACTGGGGGGGGTAGAACCCAGGAACTTCTAGTTACAAGGCGATTTCGTAGATCAATAAGCAGCCGCTCACTGGGACGCGATCCAATGGCCCATGAATTCTAACTTCTGCCAATCAGTCAAATCCAAAACAATACTTCAATGTTAATGGGATGTTCTCTAATGACTGAACCTATTCAGGAAGGTAGTTAAGTGGGGTTCTAGAGGGCAGTCATGACTAGTGGGCTACATCAGGTTGGGTTTGAGGACAAATAATTGCCACCGATGGAATTAGCTAGTGCCAGTCACGCCAAATTGTGCTCGCCTTGTAACCAGAAGGTCCTGGGTTCAAACGGCAGTCGCGTGGGTGAGCACTGATCAAGTGAAGTCCCAAACTAGACTGACTAAACAGCGGTCTAGCAGTAGTCTCAGTTGAGTTTCCAATGGTTCTCCAAGCAACGTCACCTCATGATGAAATCCTGTAACCTATTATACGACTTGTTTTCTATCTAAATTCTGATTGGTTGTTCGAGATCAGTATGATTTTGATGATGAAACTTTGAATTCACTGAAATCACGTTATGAGAACTTTCAATAACCAAAGAGAATTTAAAAAATAACGTAACAGTTGTCATTCCATATAGAACAGAGGCGTCGGACAATAACAGAAGAGTAATCAATCAGCTTGACTTTTACTTTTCTACTAAGCGTCAGACAGACTACGAAACAACCTTGTTCATGTAAAAGATCAAGTCTCTAAGGATTCTCAATCTAATTGTGTCTATAAAATAATATGCTTGGAATATGATGCGATACACATCGGACAAACATCTCAAGAAATCAAAACCAGATGAAATGAACACCGTAGAGCATCTCTTCGACCACCAAGAAATCCAGTTGAACTAGAAAAGCTTGAAAAATCATCAGCCATAGGTGGTGTGCACGCTATAGAATCAGGTCACACAAAATTGATTTTGACAATATTGAAATCGTCATCCAGAAAAACTTCAGAAATCACAAAGAACGTCTCACATCGTCAGAAGCACTTCATAGCAACAAGTGGAATCCAAATTGTCTGAAATGAATACGAATGATGGACTAAAACAGAATGTGACCTGGTTACAACTCCTCCCTCCCCCATGAAGTGACAAAATCAACACAAATGTGATAAGCAAGTTCACTATGTAAACACACACTACTTTTATAATTTTACACCCTGATAAAATCCAACAATGTACACTTGATCTTATCATCTTTATCAATTGACCAACTTGACAACGAAAAATGACCCCAGACAGACAAACGATGATCAAGTTAGTAAACTTTGTTTTGATATCTTAACAGATGTACCATTAACTTTGTTATTTGATTTAGTGATCCTCATTGTTATTTTGACTTTCAATATGTCCTTTCAACTTGACCTAAGTAGTCTATTTTCTCACCCTTAACTCTTTGTTTTTTATATGCTGAGTGGATTTTGTAAATTCCGGTTTAATAATACTGCTTTGATAAAGCTATTAGCAGCAACATTAAATAGCGAAACGTCAGTAAGAGCAACAATATCGTTTTGTTTTTCATTCATTGGGAAATACAAAAATAGTCTTTATTATAATGAATATCATATACCCAATGCCCAAATTTTTTCAAACCGTTAAAAGTGAACTTGGTTTGGACATATATAGAAAAATATAAAATTTGATTATTTCAATCATTTAAACAAAATTACTAACCTTATCGCCATTTCACCTGTTGGATAGGGTTTTACATCCTGAAAAGCACTGATAAGATGCGCAACATAACCAAATGTTAAACCTATATGCATCAAAATAGAAAAAAAGTTCATGAGTGATGATTAATTCACGCCTATTTCACACAACTCTTGTGAATAACTGCACACATACACAAAATTTAAGGATATAAGCTATGCCCTTTTTTGCAGCTGTTAAGAACACTACTGTCATCTGATATAAGGCATAATTAGGGACTGTGACAGACATCTTTTCTCACTTTGTGATAACCTTCACTCACGGTGTAACAACAGAAGACAAGGGCCAGGCAACAGATCGTTTTATTACGGAAATCAACACGTATTTATATATATTTCACATACATTATTATAGCCTAGTCAAGTAGACAAAGGCAATCTTCTGATTGGTTGTTTTCGAGTTCCTCGGAAAGTGGAGCCATCTATCTGCGAATCATATTTGCCCACGTTTAAGTTTGCTGTGATTGGTTGTTGAAACAGCCTTGTTCATATTTTACCATGGCCCATATTAGTGACCTAGACATTGACGTAGATTAATGTCAACCAATTGGCTAGCAGGCTGCTCTCACCACAACGGTGTCAAAACAATTGAAACATTGTGATATGAAACTCTGACGGGACTTCATAGAAAATGGTTTCTTTTTATCCAGATTCATCGACAAGAATCTAAAGCCAAGAAAACGCCTGAAAGATACAAGTCGCCCCCGAAAAGATGCTGCTGTGGTATCTAAACGGAACTTCTCCGTAGACGGCTTTCATAGTCTCTCAGTAAAACATACTTCGCCATCATCCTGCAAGAAACTATTCAGACAACACGTGAAAGACAAGCTGTCGCTCTGGGTCACTTCGACTTGCATATACCAGTTCACTTGCTGATATGGAGCTGAGTATATTGGCCGTAGCACTCATTCGCCTGTAAAACGCTCTAGGGAACACTACCCAGCATGTTTAGCAAAGGAAGAATGAAAGGGTGTATACAGTTTGGTAACAGAACATGTGGTGAATTCAAGACATTTAGCTCCATTTGATGAAAAGTCCTTCTAAGTCCTACATAAAAGATCCGATCAAACCTATTAAAGGGAGTGAAATCAAGGCATTTAGGAACAGCTGAGACACTAACGATTCAAAACTAAAGCCCACTCTGTGTGTTCAAAAGAAATACATCCAATTATTGTCCTCAATATGGTCATTAGAAAAAGTCAGTTCCATCAATAATGACTATCCTATTACCTTTCTTATCAAACCTTCTTGTTTATTTCTGTTATTTTTAGGTTTTTAAATCCTATCTGTATTACTAAATTTGGTTGCTGTTTTCTATCTTTAATATGTCTGAACTTCCTACTTACTTTGTCATCACCATCTCCATAATCCGTGATTTTACGAACAGTCAAGCTTTTCAGTAACTGTGATCTTATAATATCTATCCTAGTGCGTCGCTGGCACAGCGGTTAGGACGCTCGCCGGCTATGCACATATTCCGCGGCTCGATCTCCTGCCGACTCACTCCTTTACCTCGTTAAGCCAGAAATAATGCTGGTAAATAGCAAAGGTTGGGCATGAGGTGGCTAGCAACCCCATCCTGTGAGATAATAAACACTGGTACAGAAACTTCAAGCCACTAGCTTGAAGGTGCCCTATGTTTCATCACTGGGGAACGTGAAGGAAAAAAAATGTCTATCCTACCCGATCTTCCTGTTTATTACACTTTGTAATTTTATTGATTAAACCTTTGACCAGAAGTAATTCTGAAAATTTCCCACACATTCACTACTAAATACACGGATGTACAGCCTAGCTGACGGGGACTTCGTCAAAAAGAAAAAAAACTACTTTTGCCAAGATGAAACCATCTATACAAACTTAGCCCTATAGAAGCAAGTGAATCGCGTCCATACTCGCAGATTTGAATCTGAAGGGTGACAGCACGTTGTTCAGGTACACCATTCTGAAAAATACTAAAAAGAACAAAATTTTCCTCTGCATCTTTCTATTAACTGCCCCTAACCTTCTAACATTTAATAGGTGTTTTTCAATTGACAGATACGGTAACGGTAGTCAACATACTTAGGTAGCCTTCTTGGCAGACGTTCAAATAAGATGGTTACGAAACCTGTTGTAGACAATGAAAATATAGAGAGAGACATGGAATGCACTTACAGGAACACGAAAATTCCCTTTTTATGCATTATCATATAATAGCTTTCATCTAAGTTTAGCTTCTGATCATGTTAAGACTAGACTAGAGTAGGTAGACATAGAAGGGTTCAAGGAGATAATGGAACTGGAATTTCGGTAGTTTAAGGCTAGAAAAAAAACAGAAATGATCTAGGCCTGTTAAACCTCCCCTGTCTTGGTAATGGGGGATTGTACAAACAGCACCGTCTTTGATGTCTGTTTTCAATTTGCGAATAAAAAGGTCTTCACGAAAGTGAAGGCCGTTTCCATACCCAGTTCATGTCCAGTTGAAGAACTACGGAATGGAGCCTCTAAAGTGTTTCAAAAGCCATCGGAAAGGCTAATACTTATATGCGTAAAAAAGGTGCTTATGAATAAAGACACTGCAAAACAGCTAAAGACTAAAGGTGGCTTTATTGTCCATCCGGAGATTTTGGAACAACAACAGTCTCAACCTGTGAGCCAAACTGGTGATATATATCTTCAGTAGTTACAGATATGAGAATCACTATAAGGGAGGGTCTTGGAGTACTGGTGGTGCAACAGGTTAGGCAAGCTGAAATGGTGCAGAAGCCTGACCTTAGAAATATGCTAGATAGCCCGGAGATGACGATTCCAAACTTCAGGAGTAATCTTCTTAGTTTAAGTAAGTTGCTTTTAACCTGTATTGATGTGCCAGAAAATCATCGGGAAAGAATAGCGTATCTAAAGTTCCTTACACTAGAGAGCAGACAGAATGCAGTTTCATGGACAAAATTCCCTGATGGCATCAAACTGGCACTTTGACTTCTGGGTGAACCAGAGTTTCAAAAAGATCAGATTATATCGCAAGTTACAGTCATTTTGCTTTTGTTGTGACATTCTGTAACTCAAGGACATTTTTTCGGGTCACACAATAGAATGCAGAGGTCGGTTATCCGAGTTCAGATTGTAAAACGTCGTTTTTGATTGTTACAGACTGTGACGGAAGCTTGGTTTTCGGGTGTAACATCATTATTTTTCATGGGTTCAGGCTCGCCTAACAAAAACGAGAGGTTTCCTTTCGAATGACTGTTTCTGATATCTGATGATTGTCGCACCATTGAACGGCAAAAATAGTGTCTTGACAGTGCTGTTATCATTTCAGAAATTTTATACAAACATATCTGTGTTAATTTTGTGGGGATTTTGTTTGATTGTGTGGAGGATTTCATCATGAGCTGTTAGAGAACCATTGTAAAACCAGATAAAAGTACTACAGAGCTGTTTCTTCCTAGCTTGGGACTCTTCAGGAGTACACACCCCTCACCAAGGCTAGAACCCAAGACCCTCTCGTTACAAGGTGAGCTAGCTCCTAGACCATCAAGCAGCCAATGAGAACTGATCTAATGGCTAGCCAACCCATGAATTCCAACTCCTGCCGATTCACAACATAGCACAACCACTCGGCAATGTCTTCCTCGATGAGTTACTGCGTCAACTTCAACCTGCTGTTCTTTACTGGTCATGGTTTACCACCAGAACCCCAGGTTAATCGCCTGAATAGGGCCAGTCGCTAGTGAGCATCAGATCAATTTTGAAGTATTGGTTTTGTAGAGATTTTGTTTGAATGGTTAGAGGGTTTCTATGACAAAATGTTCCTTGACGCAACATTGTATTTAAAATTCGTGAAGGATAAGCTACCGAGTCCTACTACACCCCATCAATGTGCATATATATAATATTTAAAAGTTCACGTGGAGACATTTACACGAGTAGAACGACTAGACAAGCCCTCTGTTACCTTCTAGAGTGATTAGGTCCACTGGCACACCTAGCGGAGCACAAGATTAATGAAAATTCAGCTTTTACATTTCTCTACAAGGTGCCACCTTTACTCCCTAAGTTGTTATGTCTTTGGTTGAGGCAGTTGTCATAAGTATTTTTAGACCCAGTCTGTGTATTCAGAAAACGTTTGCTCAATCACTCTCTTTCGCTTAGCTTTCGCTCTCCCCTAACCTAAAATAGTTATTTCTCCCAGTGACGTGGTACAACTGTCAATATTATCTTATGTTTTTATTTTATTTTTATTGCATCGCTATGTGTATTATCAGTATCATGTTGTGCTGTAGTTCTCAGTTTCACAAGTCAGTATAATTATTATTATATGTTATCTAATCGCTACGTGACAATAGCTGTTCTCCCCTCTCTACCCACCAATATGCACATTCTGCTGTCCACGCAATCACAGTTGCCTAGATTATATAAACACTTGAATGAATTTATCCTTGTTATTTTCATTATTATTATGATCACGTCGATTGTTATTCATTAATTCACATCCCTAAATGCAAAAACTGGCGCGGAATTATACTCCTGTCCATCCCAAGCAAAATACTAAGCCGCATCTTCCTGAGAGAATCAAACAAGCCAACCTGGATGAAAAACTCCGACCGGAACAAGCTCGATTCAGGAGAAACAAGTCATGTATTGATCAGATCGCCACTCCACGGATAATATTTGAACAAAGCTTCGAATGCCAGTCACCTCTCCACCTCACTCAAATTCATCGACTTTGAAAAAAAGCGTTCAACACCGTCGATCGAGAGGTGATTTTGCAACTACTTCGCTACTACTTTGGGGTCCCATCGACAACTATACATCTCATCCAAGAATGCTGCATGCCAAGTAATCCACAACGGGAAACTTACGGAAGCCTTCGAAGTGAGGACGAGAGTGAGGCAAGGCTGTCTACAATCGCCAATGATCTTCCTGATTGCAGTAGATTGGATAATGTGACAGACAACGGGCAATGAGGAAACAGGCATAAAATGGACTCACACAAAAAAGTACTTGGAGGATCTGAACTTCGTCTGCGATGATATATGTCTGATTTCCCACAAACTGGAAGATA